GCCGCTGACGGTCGCCGCGTGAATGTCGGGTTGCATCATCTGTAAGATCTTTGCTTCCTCCTTGACGGTGTCAAGGGGGTAGAGGGGGTTTGCCTCCTTTTCAGTCTCCAGGAAAACCTCGCGCTTCGGCTCTTGCGCGGCGATTTCGTTTATCGCCTCCAACTCCCTCTCACGGACCTCATTGTCGAAAGGGTCCTCAGGGTTCTTTGCAATTGCCGGACCGCCAGTTTCCTGGGGTGTAGCGCCAACGATCGGGATAGATGTGTCAATGTTCATGTATTCCCTTTCGAGGCGGTACCAATTCATCGCCATTTCGAAGCGGTTGATTTGGCCAATGCAGTACCCGAGCTTTGCGGCGGCCACATAATAATTGATGTAGTGTTTCCTGTTGCGCTCGGTGTCATCGGTGTGGATGCGGTCAGCCCGGGACGTGTTGGATATGAGAGTCTGGGGGTCGAGGACGGTGCTTCCCGCGGAACCATGCAACAAATGAGCATGCCCGTCCATTTGAGTCTTATAAGATTCACTCAGTCCATACGTCCCGCGGCACGATGAGGACGACCTGGACGACGTCTTCCCGAAAAGCAATATGGCGTAGCCGGTCACGGACAGTCATCACCGCTCGGGCATTCCTTTCGATGATGTCCATCGCAGCCTTCCGCTTTGCCTCGGAATCAGTGGCCCAGCCCGCTATACCTATAGGGCGGCGGGGTTGTCGATGTAACCGTTACGACCGACAACGTCATTCCCGGACCACGAGATCACGATGACGTACGGCCGGGGCTCAGGCCTTTCGGCGAGCTTTAGCATTGCCCGCTCAGCAGTGTCAAGAGATTCTGCCAGTCCTTTGCCCCATGTCATTTCGGACCAGACCTCGTGCTTGTGCCCAAAGAGTGTCCGCTTATTCTCCTTGATGATGGTGCCAACATCTGTCTTTGCTCCATCTTTGACCAACGCATTGAAGGAGTCGCCGAAAAACAGATAGTTGACCGCGGGTTTCCCCGGGCAGAAGAGGATATCGAAAGCCTCAGCCGGAGCCTCTTTGAGAATTCCCGCAGTACCTGTCAACGATGACATGGCATTCTTGGCAAGAGCCAGCGCATCGGTACGTTCACTCATCTTGGCAAGGTCGACACCGGAGTTCACGTCCTTGACGATGAATGATTGAGTTGCCGCATCACGGAACATGTCTGACCAAGCCTCTCGGTTGGCGACGCGCAGCTCGTCGGGGATGACCTCAGCCTTCACCTTCCCATCGTGCAGGATATAGTCCGAGCCGTAGTCAACTCGAGCGAGCGGCACATCTTTGTAGTTCCTCTCGGAGAATGCCGAGCGTACCGTCTTCAAGGCCTTCTCCACTGGCAGTGCTTCAGCCATGGTCGCAACTAGTATCCGTGTTTGGACAACCTTTTCTTGAACCGACACTGCATAAGCAAAAGCCTTGTGAATCAAGTCAGTCATGACGTATGTGTAGGATTCAGTATTTTTGAGATTCCGTCCCCTACCTTCAGCATGTTGGACAGCGCAAGAACATACTCTTCCATCAAGGTAATTGTGGAGGCAATGCATGTTGGTCTTCACGGTCCATGGTTTCTTCATTGGAATCCCATCGGTAGTTTTGACACCAACAGCACAACCGTCAAACTTAACAGAAGTCATGTTGTTTCGAAGTACGAACTTGTCAACAGCCTTATCGTCCCAATAAGTGCAACTCCTAGGCCATTCAATAGCAATATCAACGGTTTGGCAAATTCCATTGAGTTCACGAGGTCAACGAAGGCAGACCAAATTCTTTTGTAAATGGATCGATGTCGCTTCACCTTCTCTTTCGCCGTGTCATGATTCATGTTAATATGAGACCAAGCAGTTCCGCCAGTGCAAGGGATACTTGCCCATAATAAAACAGGAATGAAGCCCTTGTTGCCGATAGAGCGGATATGCTTCACCTCGTCAACGACACGCTTACGAGTGGCATGAGAAAGAATATCATCGTCCTGGGTAATCCGAATCACGTGGCAGCCAAAAGTGGGTCGGCGCGAAGTATCACCAAGCTTGGAATCATGTGAACAGCAAACTTCAACCAGAATACGATTAGGGGCACCCCCCGTATTCCTGGCCTCGGATTTCTCCAGGCGTGGCGATACGGCAGCCGGCATACCTGGGACATCCATTTTGCTAGCAATATTCATGAGTTTGAGCCCTCCCTGCCACTTCTCAGCATTTGTGAAAGGCTTCGTAAGAATATCTGCAGCCTGAAGTTCGGTAGACACGTGCG